TTGCATTTAAGTTTTCAATGGTTATTATTTGCCTCTATGTTTGCTTTTTATAAATAGTTAATGAATTAAAATGACGGAATAATAGTTCAAGAAGTCTTTTGCATGCTAAGTACACATTAAAATAGCTAAATTAATGACAAAAGATAGATTTACCTAATCTAGGCTTTAAATTTCAATGCTTTTAATTTTTATTAAAAACAGTGAATAACGAACTAATTCTTGTTTAGAATTATATATTAATTATCATAAGAGTCTAAGTTTAAGCTAATGTGATAATTTAATTATTTTATAAAGTAGGTCATAGAGAAGATCAATCAAAACTAAATTAAGATCAAGGTTAAAAGTCACAGTTCGTTATAAATCATGTCAGTGGACTTAAATATGACTTTTAGAAATAACCTCTGAGGTTCTGGCCTTATGGGGGACATTTTCACAAGTCTTATACTTTTATAATTCTTAAATGAGCCGTATACTGCATATATTTCTAAGGTTTATAATCTTATATGGTTCTCTTATTTTCTATTCATTATGCTTGATTTCTATCTAATTTTCTCTGTCTGTTTGTATATTCTTTGAAGTTATTGGCTTTAAATATATAACAGTTACACAAGCTTATATTCCTAGCTAAGTAGCTATATACACCTGGTTTATCTACAATCAAATAAAACATACCAACAGAAGGGACTCAAATTCTTTTGCTAACACTTTTGATAGTATCATTACGACTGTTCCAATTTTTCGAGTACCAGTACAAAGTATAATAGGTAATCATGTCACTATTTTTCTGGAGTTTCAGAGAAACTCTTAAGCTCTGATTAAGCTTGTACAACAAATTTGTGTTGGTTCTAATAAGAATATAAGGTTATTTTTTTATTGTCAACCTGCTAAATTGTCTTTTGTTGGCTGCAGGATTCAATGATTCTGTAACAATGTTTTGGTGAATTACACTTGTTTTAGCTCCCTTTAACTTTTCTCTGATTATAATAATGAAAAAAACAATTTATGATATAAATGATTCCGTACTGGTAACAAATTTCGCAAATTACTCTTATGTAAGCTACCTTCAGTTTATATCTGATTATCTGCCCTATATACAATACCTATGTAACCTGACATACACATAGTTTCAGCGAACGTTAACTTGTCATCTACCTAACTACCTACCTAGTTTCAGGATTACAGAACATTGAATAATTAATTAAGTGAGGTATTCTAATGAGTATTTGTATGTAACATTTTGTCAAGTTAGCTAATGAGTTATTTAAATATTCTGTTTAATGGATCACAGATCATACTGATTAAAATCAACACAATAAACAAATTCATTTCATTATATCACTTGATATTACTTTCATATTTAAGTGATAAATATAATCGTGCATTTTTCCTCCTAATTCACCGTAAATAAAAGGATATCAATGAAAAATTCAGCTAAGTTTTCAATGACAGGTTGAAGTTAAAAACGATGAAGCAGCGTACTGGAAACTGATGAATT